TTACACCCTCACATCACAGTCAGTGCTTAGCATCTGGTGTGTGGGCAATTTTGATTTTGGAGGACCCAACATTGGGTGAGATGGGCCCTGCTCTGATACCATGTGAAATTAGATCATTGGTCTAACTCACACCCCAAAATCTAACTCAAAGGGATGAGGATTGTCCAAGTCTTATAAGGAGTCAACTCATCTCATTAACTATCAATGTGTGACTTTTTTCATTCTTTCACAAATATTGATAAAGTAAATTAAACAATGATTGACTACCTACTAACTTTCTACTCTTATCCTCGCCCTCCATATCTTCTTACCTAGAGTCATGTCCTCGGCACGTTGCAAGTGGCACTACAACAAAATTAGCTTTTAGCGGCAATAAATATACTCATAAACAAAGAGTGCTAAAGCTTTTTACCAGCATTAATTAATTGTCATTGGATTCAATGTCGGTATAGGCTTTAGGGACATTTACAAAGAGTGTTAATTGATGCTAAAAATACATATTTAGCAGCATTAAGCTATTACCGTTAATTAATTACCGCTAAAGATCATTTTTGATATAATGTACACTCATGTCCTATCTAATTATCTCGACCCAATACTTCTCCATCATACCTCCATAAACCTCTCTAATCGAAAGAAAAATTCCAAGGATAAGCACAAAATTAACTTTATGATTCCTTTCTTAGAAATACATCTTTTAATTAATTAGCAACTTGCTTTGATTGGAGATTTCCAATTGATTTCTTCAGTATATTTTAGGATTATAATAAACATAATTGTTAGAATACTTGCACCTTTATATATATTTTTAAATCTATTTTATTGTTAAAATGTCGGCATCATGGTCATCACCATGACTATCAAAATCATTATTAAATAATATATAATTAGCAGAAGAATTAAGAAGAAGTAATTAGAAGCTAATGAAATAATCAAAACGATTGTGACAAAGAGTGGACTCAATTAAGGAAATTACGTGTGTGCACATGGAGGGGTCTTCTATTTCTAAATTTTAATTAACTGATAATGACACGCACCTATTTTCAAAAATGTAATTTCTAATTAATTAATTGTCAATTAAGTTGCACTAAACTTTTCCTCCCTATTTACTAGACTAGAGTTGTTTTTAAAATAAAGTTTTACAAATTTATGTACATATCATTTTCATAATAATGCATTGCTTGAATGATATGCAAGTGTTTCAAAACTTCTTCATTAATAATTAGTTGCTAAAGAAATAAGCTATAGTTTTTTTAATCAATTAAAAGTGATGATTTATGTGGTCTGCTTAAATTTGAAAGGTACATAGCTTTAAGGGTGAATACCATTTTAGTCCTTTTCCAATTTCAGTAAATTATTCGACTAAGCACATTAAATTTTCAATTGATTTGAAATATATGATATTGATTCTTCAAATTAGCCGATGTTAAACATTTAACATAATTATTATTTTAAAAGTTTAAAAGGAAATAGATAAATTCCGCTACTCTAAATGCCAACTCAGTAATTTCTCCGACGCATCAAATATTAGGAATTATTAATATTTTATCCATATATTTTAATTAATTGAAATTTAATACTCGTAGTCAAATAATATAAGAAATAAAATTGAAATAACGCAATAACACAAAAATAAAAGAGTTGTGTTGTAATTGCACTTTTCTCCTTGCTCCTAAGAGTAGGGAAATATGGTTGGCCTAAGGGAATTAGGTGTATGTAATTCAAACTAGATTATTAAAATTTTATATACTCAACAGCTATACAAAAAATATGCATTTAAGATGTTGGTCAAATTGTTATGCAGATTGAATTTCGAAAAACCAAAAAGTAAAATACAAATTGAAACGGGAAATATTAATTACTCCGATCCTTTTATATGAAATTAGGATCCGGCTCCCCTCCATTACCCCTTCCCTCCATTTCGTCAAATGCATCTCTAGATGAAAGACATGTATCTTATTTGAAATTTAAAAGTCAAAATTATATTATATTAACAAATATCATAAGTTCATAACCATAGTTAAGTCAACTAATTTTAGAAAACTACTTTCCAAATTTGGTAAGAACTACAATAAAGGAATACAAAATTTGTTATTTATTAATATCATTAATTTCATCTTATATTTTTACACTTAAACATTAAATTGTATGATATTTAAGGTGAGAATCAACTAATCAATTTTATGTACTAGTAAACTTTATTCTTGAAATATTATACTATATTGAGAAACAAAAAAAAAATGAAGAATTATCAATGTTGAAAAAAAAAACCATAAAATAAAAGAACACGAAACAAAAATAAAAAGGTAAAAAATAAAAAGACAAAAGGTTTTTAGAATTAAACGATACCAAAATTATTCCAAGGAGAAAATGTGGCTATTGTACGTTTGAAGGGAAAAATATACGTTTTAAAAAAAATATTCTTTCATCTTTTTTTTGTGAAATAAAAGAAACCATTGTTTTAAATGCAAATGTTTTTAAAGATTATTATTTATCACATTAAATAAAAACGTTTCATGTGCTATAATTTTAATATTTAAATATAAAAATATAAAATGAAATTAGTGATATTAATAAATATCAAATTTTGTATGAAATATATTGTAATTCTTATCCAATTTGAAGAGTAGTTTTCTAAAATTAGTTGACTTAACTATGGTTATGATATTTGTTAATATAATATAATTTTGACCTTTAAACTTTAAATAAGACACATGTCTTTCATCTAGAGGTGCACTTGACGAAATGGAGGGAGGGGTAATGGAGAGGAGCCAAATCTTTAAAGTTCAAGATTATATTATATTAACAAATATCATAACCAAAATTAAGTCAACTAATTTGAGACGGAGAAAGTACGATTGAAGGACAATCAATCGCCCATTAAGTATCAACCATATTGAATTAGAAAGTAGTTTTATAGCTTGTTTGGCCAAGTTATAGCTAGAATGTTTGGATAATTTTCTAAAATCAACTTATTTTGAGAAGTGTTATAAAAAAAAAGTACTTTCGGTGACGAATAAAAACACTTTTAATATTACAAAAGTTTGGCCAAACTAGCTACTCTCTCAGTTTCTTTTACTTGTCACAGTTTCCTTTACAAGAGTCAAACAATATGAATTTTGACTAATATTTTAAGGTGTATTTTTTCATCATATTGATATGAAAAAAGTTGCAATTTATAGTACTTTATGTATAATTTTTTAATATGTAAAATTTTATTTAAAATATCGAATGAATATAATCTAATGTAGCTTTGAAAACTAGTCGACTTAGCTCTCGAGAAGCGCAATATAATAACTAAAAAGGAACCCAAAGAGAATTCATTATATTGGTTTTGTTCCTTGACAATAGTTTTGATAGAGAGTGCCTCGTATTCTCCTCCAAAAACAATAATGACACTAATTAGATCATAGACTAATTGAGCAAGTAGTTGCATCCATAAAGCTCACCAAAGGCATGAATTTGGCAAGGATAAAACTCAATCAATTAACCATATTGGTGATTTAATCAGGTATTAAAAAGGGAATGAAAAGATAGACCTAAAATTACAAGAAATTATCTCGAAGAAAATTAAACTACAATCTCTTGGAAATTTAGGGGTGCTCATTCGATTTTTCGATTTGATTTTGTACTATTCAATCTGAGTTTTTTTATTTTTATAATGAAGAAGTGTAACTCGATCAATCCGATCCAAAATAAATTTGGTTCGCTTTGGTTTTTTCTTTTTTTGGTTTGATTTTCTTTTCGATTTGGTTAATTATTCGGTTATGCAATAATTAGAAATATAATCGAAGTTATATTTGCAATTTAAATATATATAATTTGGTATTTTGGTTTTTTCAATTTTTATTTTTCTAAATTCGAAACCAAACTAAAAAATCAAACAAAAGAAATTATTAATCCAAACCAATCCAAATTAGAATTCGATTTAATTTGATATAATTTTTTGATTTAATCCAAATAGTGCACACCCTACCTGGAATCATTAAAGATGGACCTAATAGAAGAAGAAAAATATATCTTTCTCAACATCTATTAATACACTTATTTTAGTTCTAATAAAGATTTGTATGAGCTATGCCAGTAAAAAAAATATAAAGAATCTTTAATACTTTCTATATATATATATATATATATATATATATATATATAATAATAATAAATAAATAAATAAAAAATTGGCCTATAATGAATTTAATTGGGGAATGTGATTGGTGAGGATTATATAATTAACCCAAATTTGTTTGAGAATTAGATATAGTAATTATATAAAATAAGTAAATGTTGGAATCAAATCTTTCTCAACCAACTCAATCTTTTAGGAAGAAAAATAGAAAACTAACAACTTACTATTAATATTTGTTAATCAAACGTGATTTTAGATTTTCTGCCATTAGCAGACTTCCCAAAATAATACAAAACATTACTATTAATAATGATTTACTGCTTCTTTACATAATACTTGTGTAAAGAGAAAAAGAAGCTCTATTTACAATTTTTGCTTCCTTTTTTCTCTTTTTTCTTTTTGTGACAATGATGATGTAGTACATTTTTACAATTCATATACTATATAGTTTTGACGGGATACATAATAGTCACTTAAATTTATCAGTAAATTACTGTTAAATATTTGAACTATGATATGTTACAACTGAACACCTGATAAAGTTTTTCAATTCAGTATTTCCGACTCAAAATTTGGAGAAATAAATTGTGTGTGTTCTCAAGCACCAATTATGTAAATAAGTTAATCACTTCTCTTAATTATACGTATTATCATCAATAAGTCATAAAACCTCAAGTATGTCCTTATTGAGGCTAATATATATAATTAAAGAAGGTAATATATATTTTATATAATCAACTTATTATTAGTATAATATATGCTTGAGAATACGCACAAAATTGATTTTCTAAAATTAGAGTCGAAAATATATATCTAATAAAATTAATTTATCATATTCAGGTGTTCAATTAAAACTTATCGTAATCCGAGTATATCTAAGTAAAATTCACTGATAATTTTAAGGGTTATCAATGTATTTTGTCTATATTTTTTACAGTCCCCCCACCCCACCCTCTCCCCACTCCCCACCCTCCCCCCCAAAAAAAAAAGATGAAGTTTTTTTACATGAACAGAGAGGGATGTTAGGGAGATCAGCCATGGTTGTTGACTATCATGGACCAAGGTACCAAGCAAAGTCCCTTCTTCTTCAATTCTATATACCCATTATTGTCTTTTCCATCAAAAGATTTGTTGTTTCTCTCAACTCTCTTCATTTCTTGGAATTGTGCACTACTATTTTCTGTCCTATAATTGATGTCCATCTGCTTAAAATTACTTACCTGTTAATAACAAAACAAGACATATCTCAATACAAAATTGTGGCGAAATCAGAATTTTCACTAAGTAACACAAATATTTATCATATATACATAAAAAAAATGATCCTTCTCATTATATATATAATGTAATTTCCTGATGATCGAAGTTTGGATTAACCTAAAAGTTTCATCTTAAAATAAATTTGACCTAATTAAAGTACCATAAATTTCAAAACCATGTTATGTACCATCTGATTTACAACCCTTACTACTCCTAGCCTTAGTATGAGTTCGTTCGATTGTAAAAGAGAGATCCATCTTGATGAAAAAATTCACGATAACAAGAACTCAAAATTTAATCGTTCAATATCTACTCATTCTCCTCTATGTAATTCCCAATAAACAACATGATCTTGACCTATCATCTGTTCAATTTTAATCTATATACAATCATCCATACTTCTTTTATCTTTATATTTCTACTGATACCTAATCGACAACGAAAGGAAAAAAAAAAACAAGAATATGATACATAAAAATAAAAAGTAGAAAGTTTTGGTTGACCTTTGGACTATTTACAGGTGAGCTAGCAGTGTCTTCCAAATCAGGATCAGAAATTTTGTTGTTTCTTTTTTGTTTCTTCAAATTCAACCTCTTAAGAAATGGTGAACCACTCATAGGAGATTGAGAATTTTGTTTCCATGCAGCATGTGAAGCAGCATCAGAAAGCAAAGAAGGGCTACCAAAAGAATTATTATCATGATCAGATGATGAACTATAGTTATTTTCCCTTTGCTTCATTGAAAAATCCTCTAAATAAGTTGTCCATCCACTTTCTTCAGGTGCATGATCAACATCATCATAATTTGTTTCCATCTCAATATTATTATTCACACATGAATTATTTGGACCTAAATCCATGTGAAAAAAGAAACTAATTAATTTTTCTTGAAGTTGGTTTGGGGATATATTCATTTCATTTGTAGGGAGGGACTATGTATAAATAAGATGAGAAAAGTTAGTTACTCCCTATGTTCCAAGTTTGGTGATACTTTTCGAATTTCGAGATTCAGACAAATATTTATTTGACAATAATTATTGAATTTGTCAAATTATTGTGACCTGTGTTAGAATGAATTTTAAACGATATAAAGGTTTTATTTATATTCGAATTCACGATTAAAATTAAATTATTTGACTCTCGAAATTCGAAGGGGGTCACCTGAATTTGGAACAGAAATAGTAGGAAACAAGAGAAGATAAGTGGGACCCATGATTGTGGAATCTTGTTGTGGGGCCAGAAGTTGAGGAAGTTAAAATTCAAAGCTTCTAATTAATATAACACGAGAGACGTGCTGAGAGGTAAAGAAATTTCAAGGGATATTGGTTGACCTTTGTTGTTTAAATGATACTCCTAATTTATTAGATTTTTGTTTTTTTTAGTTTATCCACCAAAAAAATAGTACTACGTTTTTATAATTACGAAAAAATTAATTTTGAGTGATTTATCTGTGAGTTAATTACTCCCTCCATTTATTTTACTTCACCTATATATCAAAAATAGATGTTGGATTTTATTTATCTATTTTAATGGAAAAAAATTTGTCATACTACCCTTAGTCCTGAATAAGTAGTCAAATTTAAAATTTCAAATCATCATTAATAAGGTTAATTTAGTAAAATATACTTTTAATTAAAAAAAATTAAGCGTATGTCAGATCAACAAAGTAATATCATGAAACGGAGAGCGTAAATCCATTTTTGGTTAGCAATTGCCATTGGCATAGACAAAAAGGTGTTTAGACTCTTGTGGCATTTTGTTCATCTAAAACCATAAAATGAATGATTTATCACGATTCACGGGATGAGATTTGTATTAGATTTACTTAGGAAATATAGGTTCAAATTCAATGTGATCACACTATTATATTTCATTTGAAAGAATTGGACAGACAAGACATGTTTTCTTTATTAATTTGTCTAAGATGTACATGAACAGGAAAAAGAGGATTGTTTGTTGGTTTTCTTGAATTTATAGTAGATTTTCACTGGCATTTACCTATTTAAAAATGCAAATATTAATACCTTTTTTTTTTGTTTAACAATAGTACTGGTCAGGGCCGTCTAAACCCCTAGGCCACTAAAGTCATCGCTTGGGGCCCCATATTTTTGAGGGCCCCCATTTATTTTTTTACTAATATCTGTTTTTTTTGTAAAAAATATTATATGTATGAGTGCTATGATTTCTACTAAGGAAATTGCACATGAGATTAACATTGAACCTGAATTTCGTAAGAAACAATTTGATGAAAATATTGCTAACGAAATCACAAAGTCATATATATATATATATATATATATGCTCACATAGTAGATCAAGCTATTTTTCACTTCAAAATAGACTTGAACCAATTGAAGCATATGAAAATATTTTTGATTTCTTATTTAGTGGTAAATTACTGAGATCACTAGATGATGAGAACTTAAAAAATATTATCTTAACCTTGAACTTTCTTTAACACATAATAGTTATTTTGATATTGATGGTTTAAATTTATTTTATGAGTTAAATGTGTTCAGAGAAATAATACAAGTAAAAGAATTGATCTAATGAAAACACTCAATCAAATGAAAAGTGTTGATTTTTTTCCAAATAACATAATGCTTATAGAATAATGTTATATGTTCCTGTAGCCGTTGCCTTAGCCGAAAGTAGATTTTCGAAACTAAAATTGATTAAATCTTATTCAAGATCAACAGTGCATCAAGAGAGATTGAATGAATTAGCTATATTATCAATTGAAAAGAAATTATTAAAACAAATCGATTATAAAACAGTAACTAATGACTTCGCATCTAAAAAAACTAGAAGAGTAGATTTTAAATAAAAATATATATGATGAAAAAATAATATTAGGGCCTCTTTCTATAGTTTCACTTTAGGCCACCAATCTTGTTGAGTCGGCCCTGATACTAGTCCATTATTAACTTGGTACATAGGAGTAATATTACCCCCTCTATTTCATATTATAAACATACTTTGTGAGACAATGCACACTTATTAAGAAAAAAATATTCTAAATCATAATTTAAACTATACTTTCCACTATTGTCCTTTATGAAATCATAAATTCAACTTTGTAAGTGATGCAATTTATCTCCTAGAAAATATCAAACTTCATTAAAGAAAAGGACAAATATGAAGAAAAAATTTCAAATATCCATCTTCAACTTGGAACAATTCAATTATTTTGAACAATGAAAAAAAAAAACCCCAAAAATACAATTAATGTGGAATAGAGGGAGTATTACACTACTCTTTGAATATATTAAATTTAAGCATTTGGAAAATGTCTTAGATATTGAATACTTCATTTGTTCCTATTGACATGTCGTCCTTACTAAAATTAAATGTTCCACAATACTCCTTTCGTTCCTATTTACATGTCTTCTTTAGTAAAAATAAATGTTCTTTAATACTACTTGTCATTTAACAAAATCAAATGCATAAACGACATTGTTCTTCCTATTTTATCCTTAAGAGTTACTAGCCTTGAAAGTATGAATTTGATCAACATAGAAAAACAAAGTAATTAAATCATAATCATTGGTCAAATTAATTAAGCAAAATAAATTAATTCATGTTCATTTATTAAAAACTTAACTTTAAGATAACACTAAATAAGGGTATAATGATAAACTTGTCTAGTTTCTTAAGGGACATGAAATCTAAAATGGTGACAAATAAATAGGAACATAAAGAGTAATATTTAATAGCAAGGGTAAAATACACATAAAAAAAATAAAATATCTCTTAACCTTTTAAACGAGACAGATATTAATATGATGAACAAGTAATGATGAACAGAGTAAACATCTAGTTATGGCGTTGAAATCATGAGGAACTTGCCATGTTATGCTTTCAATGTTTGCCAAATTTGAACTGCCTGCGGCCGGCATTGTTGATTAGAATGAAAGTGACCTAGTAATGGCATCAATATATTTATGAAAGAAAATGGGCATCACTAGTGTTGGAATTACGACCTCCTTAACTCTATAAAGAAACAAGTACTTACTACTTGTTCCTCACTATCTGAAGTTAGCAGTAAACAATTTCGTAAGATAACTCTTTCAAAACTTCGTATTATTTATTTCACCTTCAAATAATACAATGATTACACAACTATGTAACCTAAAGAGTTAAAAACTCTAACTCCTAACTACCCAAGACAAAAAACCCCCAGGTTTGTGTCTCCTACAGAGTCTTTCCAAGTTATAACAACTCGTTAGACTCTTCCTACACTCAAAACTCAAATTGCAGTAAATAACAATTAACTACAATTAACAAAAACCTCTGGCAGCACCACAAGAACCTTCAAAAACTCTCTCATACTCTCTTTGACAGTGTTTTTGATTTACTCTCAATATTCCTTTCTCTACTCTTATCTATTTGTTACTATTTGACTAACTTTGTTTATTTTATGGTTTAATTTAATTAAATTCCCATAGATAGCCATTTCATTTTTTATCATGTTCAAATCAAAATATTTATATTTTATACTTATCTCTATTTCTATTAGTCTTGCCACTTAGACTATTTCCCTTTAGAAAATTTCCCTTTAGTTCATTTTCCCTTTAAGATAATTAACATGGCAATAATGATAATAAATAATAATAAATAAAATTATAAGTTTGCTTACTTAGCTAATGTCTTTCTCAAAATTAGTCAAGTCATTTTCATCAAATTGCCGGTCAACTGCAAGTTAGTGGGCATTCCGAGGGCCTAACACCTTCTCGGAATGTACATTCGAACTCGAACCCTTTTGTTTTCAATTGATTTTATCTATTTAAATCTTTTGAAAACCTTAAGTGTTTTTTCTTGATTTTTACTAAAGCAATTAAGTGGCAACTCTGGTTCTTTTGGAAAATCGATTTCTCTTCAAACTATAAGATTAGTCGATTTTTCGAAACAAGTCATTTTTTTCTTTTATTTATATTTTTCGAGTAAAACAATTTGTAGAGATAGAGTAGCTGATCTTTAGGGATAGGAATGACAGATCTTTAGGGATGTGTAATCTTTATTCTCTATATAATGGAAAGACTTTCTCTCACTTTAAGAGGCATTCAACAGAAAATTGACATCGTATCAGAGCCTTCTCTTGGTTGTCTTGTTTCATAGAGTCACTTGTGGTTCCTTCTAAAAAAAATTTGGAATATCTTGGTTTTTGATTGAATGTTCATTGACAATCAGTCCTACTATCTAAGAATTTTTTTCTTGATCATTCTAGTTGCTTTCTTGAGTCTTTGTAGTTTTCATAGTTATTCAAAAGCATGAATTCACATCACTTTGAGTGTTCGTTTCACTTGAAAAAGTTATACTTATAGTTATTTGTCACCGGCAAAGAACTACGAGGCCATATAGATTGAAGTGATTCTGCTCCTACTGATGCAACAAAGTTAGGTGAATGGAAGATTAAAGATGCTCGGGTGATTACATGGATTCTAGGGTCAATTGACCCTCTTATTGTTCTTAATTTCAGGCCGTACAAAACGACTAAGGCCATGTGGGATTACTTACAAAAGGTTTACAACCAAGATAATAGCGCAAGATGCTTTCAGTTAGAGTATGAAATTGCTAATTACTCTCAAGGAGGTCTTTCTGTTCAAGATTACTTTTCTGGATTTCAGAACTTATGGACTGAATTTACAGATATTGTCTATGCCAAATTACCTACTGAATCTCTATCAGTGATTCAGGTAGTTCATGAGCAAAGCAAGCAAGACCAATTTTCGATTAAATTACGATCCGACTTTGAGAGTGTTCGCTCTAACTTGTGTAACAACCTAATTCCCTCTGTTAGGGAAAAGCCAATGGGGAAAGAATTGGGGCCAGAAGACTTTTGAGTAGTAACTTGGGAATTCCTAGCCTAGTCCAGATTTGGACAAAATCTGAGTCAGT